ATATGCCTTTAAGTGTTTCTATATTTTGTTTCTGCTCCTCCCTTTCCTTTGGTTTAGTTAATGCTGTTTAGATAGCCCTCCCCCTTCCCAGTAATGCATTACAGCTCTAGCCTCATGTCATGGAGCAGGAAACATTATGATCTTTTGACCTATCGAATGTTCATTGTTGTAAGATTCTCTAAGTTTATGGAATAAACTTCACAAGATCTACAAGATGTCTTATCGATTGAGTCATTGACTGTGGTATCCAACTGAGGTTGAAGTTATCGCTATCTCATCACAACTGTAAGTTACAGAGATCATACTATCAATGCTTAGATTGGAGAGACAGAACAGTCAAAAGATCTGTGAAATGCTTCATAGGATCCTGGCCAGTCAAAAGATCAGTGGAATGCTTCATAGGATCCTGGCTAGTCAAAGGATCAGTGAAATGTCTTTATAAGAATACTTGCTAGCTAGAATACACAGTGATATGTTATATGGATACTGGATATAACAGCTATAGAGAGTGCAGCCACCTCTACACAAGTCTGTATATGCCTCCAAGTGTATCCCAACATAACACTCATCAGTGTCAGGACAAATTATTGATGTGAATGTTTTACAACTGCAAGTGTATTCACTGCATCTGTATACATTACCACATGGATTGTCTGTGAACTTATAAAAAAGAAAAAGAAGATCTTTCTGCAATCATTGCCTAGGAAACCTGAACTCAGCCACAGAAAAAGTGATACATTTCTCTGTAAACTTTCTATCAACCCCTCTCCTTGCTAACATGATGTTTCAGGAAAGTAATATACAGTCTGGGGAAACCAATACACAACCACAATCAGAGCTTCATCCAGAGCATGACTAGATAAATGAGAAAAACGCTAAAGAAATCCAAATTGGAAAGTACAAGAGTTTTAATACCGACAAGGAAGAATTGCTGTCTAATAACAATGACTTATAGTCTAATACTGTTAAATGCATGTCTGCTTTCTCCCAACAATCTCATTAACCAATAAAACTAGAGGGTGCTATCCAGCAATTGAATGTTGCTTATGAGAATTATCAAAGACTGTGTGTTAAATATATTGCTCTATTAAAGCAGTACAACACTCAAAGGTCATTGGAAGAATTAATGAGTTTTGAGGAGCTCAATCTTGAAAAAGACAATTTAGTGGTGTGAACAAAGACAATGGCAGAAGTGAGAATAAACAGGGGGTGAAGCACTATGGAATCATAAATAATTCATAAAATACAAATGAATAAAATGCTAAAAAGGTGTCTCAGTGTGCATAAATTATTGTGAATAACACACTATGGTGCAAAACGCATAAAAGTGCAAAGAGTAAAGTCCACACATAAATAATACATGTCACTGTGTTGTGACCAATCAGAAAAATTTGTGAGTGCCCAGTCCACAAAATCCCAGTGGGTTGAGTGTTGAGAGGATCATGAGGATCTCTTATGATGAATATAAACGTGGTGATATCCAAAACTGATATCCAAAACTGTGCACTCACCAGATGTGCAATCAATATGCGCATGTAAGAGACAACCCCTCTTAAGGTTTGAATCCAGGAAACCCTCTGGAATGTGGTCTGGTCTATTCCGTCAGATGACCATGCTGTCAGTGTGAAGAAATTCCAACTAGGATCTGATCTTTTTTTTACACAAAGCAGTCTTGGATTGCTTTGGAATGTTAAACAAGACACATTCACATTTCAAGCATTAGCCTGTGACAAGCCCTTCACAAAGTGAGGAGTATTGTCTACAGTAAACAGCATTTATGAGGTTTCATTACACCTCTCACCATTCAAGGTAAGATCCTGCTGAGACAACTTACTTCTGAAAGCTCAGACTGGGATACCCCCTTACCCAAGGAGAAACAACAAAGGTGGGAATCCTGGAAACAGTCTCTAAAAGCATTAGAACAACTCCAGATACCACGCTATTACTCTCAAGCATCCTTAAGAGATTCAGAGAGAAGAGAGATTCATGTCTTCTCCACGCCAGAAGAATGGCACTATGTTCCCACAAGCCTCAACCCTGCTGACCGTGGCAGTCTTGCAGTACCTACTACTGCGTTTCTGGACACATCTTGGCTATATCCACCATGAAAGAAGGTTCTGCACACCTTTACTTCAGGCCTATAAAGGAACTAGTACTTTTTTTGCCCAAAGAGGAAGACAAGTCATCAACCTTATTTAACCACAAGCCTACAGGGCACTTACACCCCTTTCCTGCCCAGGCCAATTTCCAGCTTTCAGCGATGTCGCACTTTGAATGACAATTGAGCGGTCATGCAACACTGTACCAATATGAAATTTTTATCATTTTTTTGTGACAGAGCTTTATTTTGGTGGTATTTAATCACCTCTGGGTTTTTTATTTTTTCTTAAACAAACCAAAAATCACTGAAAATTTAAAAAAAAAAATTTTTTTTTTAGTTTTTGTTATAAAATTTTGTAAATAAGTGATTTTTCTCCTTCACTGATGTGCGCTAATGAGGCTGCAGTGATGGGCACTGATAGGCCGCACTGATGGACACTGATAGGTGGCACTGATGGGCACTGATGAGGAGGCACTGGTAGGTGGCACTGATGGGCATTGACATGCATCACTGATGGGCACTGAAAGGCAGCACTGATACATGGCACTGATATATGGCACTGATAGGCGGCACTGACAGGCGGCACTGACTGGCACTAATATGTGGCACTGACTGGCACTGATAGGTGGCACTGACTGGCACTGTTAGGTGGCACTGATTGGCAGCACTGATAGGTGGCATTGATTGGCATTGATAGGTGGTATTGACTGGCACTGATGGGTGACACTGAAAGGCAGCTCAGATGGGCACTGATATGTGGCATTGATGTGCACTGGTAGGCACTGATATGTGGCATTGATGTGGCACTGATGGGCACTGGCAGGTGGCATGGATGAGCACTGACACAAGGCCCTGATGGACGCTGACAGGTGGCACTGCTGGGGCTACACTGATCATCAGGGCACTGATCATCAGTGCCCTGATGAGCAGTGTACATGTCCCCTCCGCGGAAAGCTGATTACCGGCTCTCCTCTCCTCTCCTCTCGAGCTGTCAGTGTGACATCTCGAGAGGAGAGAAATGCCGACAACCGGCATTTCCCTGTTTACATGTGATCAGCTGTGATTGAACACAGCTGATCACATGACCGAGCCGACATCTTCGGCTCTTTCCTTGATCGGTGATCCACTGTGTCCGAGGGACACAGCGCACCGCCGATCGCCGCGAATGCACGGTGAGAATGGGAGGACGTCATTTGACGTCCTCCAGAATGGGGGAACCACCTTGCATCTGTCATATTACTATATGGCAGGCGGGAGGTGGTTAAAGGAGGTAAGAAGGAATGTGCAAGTTGCTGCCTTCCCCTCTGAATATGGATTTCCATGTCTCAGCCTGGGCTTTCAAGACCAACATCTGCAAGTATTATGCTAAATGTTTGCATTGGTTTCCTTTGTTCTTTCCTTCCCTCTTGTTTTGCAGATGTTCCTGGAAAGAATCTTCATTACTTATTTTGGACTTGAACAAAAGTTTATTATAATAGAAATCATAGATTTCGACGGGGAGTGTCGTGTTTCACATGACTGTCATATTGACTGTCATATGCCTTTAAGAGTTTCTATATTTTGTTTCTGCTTCTCCCTTTCCTTTGGTTTAGTTAATGCTGTTTAGTTAGCCCTCCCCCTTCCTAGTAATGCATTGCAGCTCTAGCCTCATGTCACGGAGCAGGAAACATTATGATCTTTTGACCCATCGAATGTTCATTGTTGTAAGATTCTCTAAGTTTATGGAATACACTTCACAAGATCTACAAGATGTCTTATCAATTGAGTCATTGACTGTGGTATCCAACTGAGGTTGAAGTTATCGCTATCTCATCACAACTGTAAGTTACAGAGATCACACTATCAATGCTTAGATTGGAGAGACAGAACAAAGCAACCAACAAAATTTCAATGTAATTTGGCAGCACAGTGGCTAAATGGTTAGCACTTCCACCTGGTAGTACTAGGGTCCTTGGTTTGAATCCCAACCATGGCACCACCTGCCTGGAGTTTGCATGTTTCCCTGTGCCTGCGTGGGTTTCCACCGGGTACTCCAGTTTCCTCCCACACTCCAAAGACATGCTGGTAGGTTGATTGGCTCCTGTCTAAATTGGCCCTAGTATGTGTATGAATGTAAGTTAGGGACTATAGATTGTACACCCCTTGAGGGTTAGGGACTGATATGAATGTACAACATGTATGTAAAGCACTATGTAAATTGACTGCACTATACAAGTACCTGTAATAAATGAAATGTAATGAAGATCAGAAGTGTTGTGACTATCCTGCATGTTCTCACGTAAACATCATTGCATCCCCCAACTTCCACACACACCCATTTACAACTGGAACTTTATTTATAACATTTTATTTTTTTTTGGGGGGGGCATCTCCATGCACTTCTGGAAATCTTGCCTAGGTGAAAACTACATCCCCAATTTCCTTAGCTTTCTGGAATACTGATGCATTCCAACAGACACTGGGGTATTCTATAGCATATGCGCTGATACACATCATCAAGGGGTTGCTGTCGCCTCGTTTTTTGAGCCAGCTACCTAAAGATACGCTGCAGCATCTGCTGGTCATCAGTGGGCCACCTGCAAGAATTTAGAAATTGGCCTCTGCCAACAAAAGTAAATAAGCTGGTAGCATAGGCCAGGTGTGTGACAGCGGATTGATGGATTGCAGCACAAACCACATTGGATTCCCTGGACATGTGAGTATGTATTTTGAAGTGTTACTAAACCAACAACAGTAAAATCAGTCTGTATATACAGTAAAGCAAGCTTGTTATACTCACTGTGGAACCTAAGGGGTTAATCTCTGCATTGTGTAAAAAGGCTGTTTGATCCTTTCTTCTCTGCCCCTCCTCTTGTTGAAATCATCACCTGATACAGACTGAATCCTTAGTCACATGCATATGCTCAGTTTGGTGTGTATTGCTAGAGAGAATTTTTTTTCTTGGTTGAGTGCATGTGATCAGCACAGGGCAATCAGCACTGTCCAGACAAATGGTCAGGGGTTTCACATCCTCCTAGAGCAGAAGGAAAACTCCTCCTACAAGCTTTAACCAGTCACAAGACTGCTCTAGCTGCTGATGAGAAAAGGTATTTAGCAGTTTATATTTACTAAGATAATTGCATTTCCATGTTCTGTGTACTGTGGGAGACCAGATATAGTGGATGCAGGGTCCTGGGTTTAGTAACACTTTAAGGATAACTCAGGAAAACAGGTAAGAGGCGATAAAAAAAAAAAAAAAAGGAGAACGTGGCGGTTGGAATTCCTCTTTAAGCTGGCTTTACATTTTTTGTGGAGCAATCTAACTTTTGGTTCCATTTTTATCAAAATTACAAAGCAATCAAAAAAGATAAAAGGGTAGTTTTGGTCGAGCACAAGGAGAAGGGATTAAAATTGCCCCAGTGGATCTTGACATAAAAACCAGATTGTTTTCTAAGACATTTTTTGTCAGCCAAAGATTTCCTTTTTTCATAAATTTTTTATTTTAAACTTTACAATAATATTCTTAGTTTATGGAGAATAACTTGGGAAAGCATGGTAGCTACTGATGAGATAATGTTTGAAACTGACTGCAAAGCAGACCCAGGTCGGTAAGATCGTGCACGCACTCATTTCAGTGTTGGCGCCCAGAGACTGAGTCCAGCCGATAGTTAGTTAGGGTCTTGTTTGTGTCAAAGTGTTGTTACTGATTAAAGGACCCACACTTAAAACATACATTGAGATGAAAAATCAAAACTCATTTGTGTTTTGCTCAGAAGGAATACTCAAAAGGACATTATGGGAGGGGGAATATGTAGATTTGTGTAAGATTGTAAGCTGTTGTGTGGGCTGCCCATACCATAGAGAATTAGGTAATAACAGGTTAGCTTATTTGGCCCGCCAGTCACTCTAATAGAAGGATTCTGTGCAGCACAAGGGTCTCAGCCTTTGGGTTTGGTGCATGTAGTATGTTTCCAATTTGTGGTTGTGTTTATTTGCCACATCTAAGTAAATTTGAAAAAGCTGGTGTTGGGGTTGCTTTCTTCGTTCGTGACTTCACTGTATCCTGGGGAGCCCACCCTGATACACGGCTTACAACATAAAAACCAGATTGTTTTCTAAGACATTTTTGTCAAATATTTTCGTTTTTCATTAATTTTTTATTTTAAACTTCTGAAAGAATAATTTTCTTAGTTTATGGAGAAATTTGTGAATCTACTGATCTATGTTTGAAATGACTGCAAAGTTTGTAGAGTCAGCTTTAGTCTTAATTTGATTGTAAACCCTCACTAAAATAGAAATGACCATTTGTGTATAGATAAAAAACATTATATATGGCACCCACAAAGAATTAGGTACATTTAAAGCAACTCAATAATTGCATGTTTGAGTAGACTTCAAGTCCAGGTCAGACCAGGTTAAGCCAGTCGTACATAGGTCAAATTCTGAAAGAATTTCTTCTGAAAATCTTTTCTAAGAATTTTTGTTCGAATTTTGCACCATTAGTAGACCACAGCAATGGACAATTTTCAAGCAACCATGAATTTCAGTGATCGGGCATGTTAGAAATTCATTCATTTTTCAAAAAATTGGGAGAATCATGCAAGAAATTTAGTTTGAAAAAAAAAAGAGCATGAGCTGTGACCTGGAAAGAGAAGAAAATTCTTGGCCCCGAAAATTTTTCTGTAGCAACATGAGGTGAGATTAAAAGGCTTTGTTGGTTGAATTTCAAAATCAATGGTGGCACCATCAGATTACAAAACGCACAAAATTTCTGATTTTCTAAAGAAAATTTGTTCAGAATTTGACCTATTTATGGCCTGCATTAGGCTGGATTACTCAGCAGGTTGGGCCTCTATCGCCTCCACCTGGTTCTGGAGGTCCATGGAAACTTCCAGAAGCCACTGGGCGGAAGTATGGAGATCTAGATCTGCATATACATGGAAGTCTGACCAATCCCAAGCTGGAGGCCCTAGTAGTGTGCAAGACTTCCGCTGGATAAAAAGAGTAAGTAATCTCAGCAGGAGTCTGGAGTTGGGTGGAAGATGGATTACTGAAGGTGCTGCTGCGTAGCCCAGGAGGAAACCCCAGCGGGGGGGGGGGGGGTTGCCTCTAGTCTGGACATTGCAGGAAAGGAAAGGAATATGACAGAGGGTGCTCCACTACCTTACAGTCCCACCAGGAAGGATAGCCTGCAAGCTGGGACAGAAACTGGTTCAATGAGAGGCCTGAACACAGTTTACCTAGAACTACAGAATAAAAGGACAGTATGAGTACCTCAACCCCCCTGGGGCCAATAGAAGAGGGGGGCTGCTGGGTGCAATACTAGTTCTCCCTGGGACAGTGCTGCATGCCTGTCCTGGAATCTCTTGCTCCAGGGTGGACAGCCAGGTGGATAGGATGGACAGCCAGGTGGATGGGCATTTCCTAGGAGGGGTCTGAGGAGAGATCACTTAGAGAAGGTCAGGCGCTCCTTACAAAGACTGTGCTATTGATTTATTAAGAGACTGTGCCACTGGAGTAGAAAGTTAAAGTTTTACTAAACCCAGAATCCTGCATTCACCATATCTGGTCTCCCACAGTACACACAGCACATGAAGTGCAATTATTTTAATAAATGTAAACTGCTAATACCTTTTCTGTTTGGAATCTGATTGTTTGATTGCTCCTGTGGACAGGTGTAATTATACAGGTAACAAAATAGATTAGCAGCACTCCCTTTAAGAGACTGCTTCTAATCTCAGCTTGTTACCTGTATGAAAGACACCTGTTAGCCAGAAATCCTGCTGAATGATAAGGGGTCAAATACTAATTTCCTTCATGAACATGCAAATCAGTGCATAATTTGTTAGACATGTGTTTCTTTTGAATTTTTTGTTGCTATTCTGTCTTTCAGTGTTACAACACACCTACCATTCGATTTTTAGACTGATCATTTCTTTGTGAGCGGGCAAACATTCAAAATCAGCAGGGGATCAAATACTTATTTCCTTCACTGTATGTACTGTGGGTGGCCGGGACCTAATAAAAAAAAAGCGAAGAGACTAGCAGGAATACCAGGGATTTCACACAAAGGAAGCAGTACAAAGAGAACAGGATGCTTTTTCATAAAAGAACATGGTACAGCAGACACATATTAGCAATATAAAATGTTGGGTTTACATATAGTTTTTATAAATTAAAATAATAAACATGTTATACTTACCTTCTCTTCTGGGGTCCCCTGCTGGTGCCCTGGGCTTCTCCTCCTTTCTGAGTGCTCCCATAGCAGGCTGCTTGCTATGGGGGCTAGGGATGCACTGATACCGGTATCAGTGCCAATATCAACTATTTTCTCGTTTCTCTATTTTACTCGTACTCGTGAAAATACTACCGATACCTTAACTGATGCTTTGTTGTACAAATTGCTCCTCAAAGATTAGAATGCATTAGAACAGTGCATTGCTATGTGATGGTGCTGGCCAATCAGGTACTGTCTAGCCCAATCTGTCATCACTGCAAGGAGAGGAAAGAAAGAGGTGGGGATTTCAAATCGGGCTATGGGAAACCTGGGTTCACATTTACTGGAGTCGCATTCCTGTTCAAATTGCATGCTGTTCTTTACGATGCAATTTGCATCCATTAACACAAATCGCACCACAAAGTATCGGTACTTAGTATCGGCGAGTACCGAAAGTATCGGTACTTGTACTCACTGATAACAAAACGGTATCGGTGCATCCCTACTGGGACCACTTGTGTGGACTCAATCCTGAGCTGAGCTATGTGTAGCTCTTCTGACCCAGACAGCACAATTTGGCTCCACCCCCCCCCCCTTCAATCCCTGCCAATGTCTTCTTCTGCTGTCTCTGAGCCTGTGAGGAGAAAGGAAGAGAGTTCTTAGGCACAGCGCTGGATCAAGATCGGGCTCAGTACATATTTGGGTGGAATGGAGGGGGGGGGAAGGGGGATGAAAATGAACTTTTTTTTCTTTATATTCAACTTATTTCTATTGGATTTTAAGAATAAACAGGGTAGACAATAACATGGACAACCATAGGTTCACAGTGATGCATGAGCATAAAGAAATATTCCTGATATTGCACAAACAGCATCTAAGTAAGGCAGTGTGAACCATAGGGGGGGGGGGGAGGGAAAGGATAAAGGGGGTGGGGGAAGGGGGAGGGGGAAAGAGAGGAAAAGGGGGGGGGGGAAGATGGGGAGGGAGAGAGAGATAGAGGGAGGGGAAAAAGGGGGAGGGGAGGTAACGGTCAGGTACCGACTGGCGGTGACTCTAGAGATCCACAGGCCGGGATTCCCCAGGGCGCGGAGTCTAAGCCTCAGTCTATTTATTCACCAGAGCCCCTGATGGTGGGGATGGACTTGGAGCAGGCTGAGACCCGGTCATGGCCCCCGAGTACACCCAGCTGCGGTAGAGAGGTAAATGCCAGTGGCACGTAGCAGATAAGAGCCTGCTGTGAAGGGGCGGAGCAGATCTGGGCAGTAGCGGATGGATCCGTGCAGGATGGATGGACGGATGACACCGTGGAGAGATAGCGAAGTCAGGCAGGCCAGGTCGGTAACGACGGAGGCGAAAAATGGTACAGAGCAGTAGGCAGAGAGTAATCGGGTCATGAGCCAGGTTCAGCAGCAGGAGGTCAGATAATCAGGAACAGGCAGAAGAGAAGTCAAGACGAGCCAGGGGTCGGGTCAGGGCAGGCTACGGTCGGCAACCAGCAATCTCAGGAACAGAACGAGCAGGAACAACAGGAACAAGACCTTATGGCAATTTGAGCATTGCAAGGGGTCGATTTAAATAGTGCGCCCTGCGCTATCATTGGTGCCAGGCGCGCATGCACGAGTGTGCGAGTGCGCATGTGGCTGCGATTGTTGCCGCGGTTGCCTATGTCCTATCTCCCGCATGCTGGTGCGCATTGGTATTCCGCGCATGCGCAGACCCGTACGTCGCGGCGGACCTTGAGATCCCT